AGGGTCTAGACCCGAAACGTCAGCCTTCCTGCTCCTCTGATGCTGCTTGGCCTGCTGTGTTCATCCAGCTCCACACCTTGTTATCTCAGATTCTCCAGTATCTGCAGTTCCTACTATCTCAGAGAGTGAAGGGACCAGCTAACATCCTGGAGAAATGGAGACTCACCTCGTTTGATGATTTGGGTTTAATACTTCTTTGTATAAAAAATTCCTAAGGAGAGGAAAGAAACAGAACATTAAAGGCAGTAAGGAGTGAAGTGGGTATGTTGAGGAGAGGTTGGGTGTTGGGCTGGGGGTAGTTGTACTTGTGGGGAGACTGTAGCCTGGGTTTGGGGTCAGTAACGCCCAAGGCCTGACTGCAATGTTACAATCTGTCAGCAACAACACTGCCTTTGCTGAGACTTGCTTTCCACCTGACCATTTCTGCACTTGCTGACTAATCCTAATTCAGCAACACCTCACAAAGTGAGTCAGCAAAACGGCCATCATTGATCTCATCCCTACACACAAATCTCAAACAGAAGCAAAATACCGAAGATTCTGCAAACCGAAATAAAATCATCGATTCAGAGAATCCCTGCAGTGCAGGTACAGGCCATTTGGCCCATCAGATCTGCACCAAGTCTCGGAGGAGCACCCCACCCTATCCCTATAATGCACAGTGACCATAGTTAACCCATCTAGCATGCAAGCTGCAGGGCAATTTAGTATGGCCAGTCCACCTAGCCTGCAGAGGGACAGGGACACATCTGCTCCCTCACTGTGAGGGCCTGGGACAGGGATATTTTGGATGGTGAAGTAAGGTTTGCACTGAGGAGATGGGGACATCTGCTTCCCATAGTGGCAGCAGAAGGAGCGCCGCACGGCGCTCCCAGTGATGTGTTTCCCAAGTCTTTGCTGCCAATTATATCACCAGCGTGAACACTCAGATCACGCCAATCAAGGCCCTTCCTCAATATCAACTGCACTGTCAGCAGGGGGCCCAGCACAGAAAACACTCACCGCTTTCAGAGGCACTGGCAACTCCTCTGGCCTGTGGAATCGCTTTGGACTGTTTCTGCTGTCGGGGCTTCCTGGAGCCACAACCGGTCTACCCCTGGACAATGGCTGAATGACTCCAGGCTTGGTCTGTACATCAGCAAAGACATGGGGAGTGGGGAGGAGGAGGCCAGAGACAGCAGGGCAGAGAGAGATGTGGGAGGCAGGGGGATGAAACAGAGTGAATACAAGTGTGAGAAACAGAGACTGCAAATACAAGTCAGAAAAAGCTAGTGCTGTGCCATTATTTAAGAAAGACTGCAAGGAAAGGCTAGGCATCCACAGAGGGATGAGCCTGATGTCAGTGGTGGGTAAGTTGTTGAAGAGAATTCTGAGAGACAGGATCTACACACATTTAGACTGATTAGGGATGGTCAGCTTGGCTTTGTACGTGGGAAATCATGTTTCACAAACTTGATTGAGATTGTTGAAGAGGTGACCAAGAAGATAGATGAAGGCAGAGCGGTAGATGTTATCCACGTGGACTTCAGCAAGGCCTTCAACAAGGTTCCTCGTAGTAGACTGGTTAGTAAGGTTTGATCACATGGGATCCAGGGAGAGCTAGCCAATTGGATACAAAATTAGCTTGTCAGCAGGAGACAGAGGGTGGTGGTAGGGGCCTGTGACCAGCAGTGTGCCACAAGGATCAGTGCTGGGTCCACTGCTGTTTGACATTTAGATTTACATGAGAACAGAAGAGGCATGGTTAGTAAGTTTGCAGATGACACCAAAATTGGCAGTACAGTGGGCAGTGAAGGAGGTTACATAAGAGTACAACCGGACCTTGATCAGATGGGCCAATGGGTCAAGGAATAGCTGCGATATATTTTCCCTGGAGCGTTATATGTTGAGGGGTGACCTTATAGAGGTTTATAAAATCAGCAGGGGCAGGATAAGGTGAGTAGCCAAGGTCTTTCCCCCAGGATAAGAGAATTCAAAACTAGAGGGCGTGGGTTTAAGGTGAGAGGGGAAAGATTTAAAAAGGGATGTGAAGGGCAACTTTTTCACACAGAGGATGGAATATGCTGCCAGAGGCAATGATAGAGTGAGTGAAATTGCAACATTTAAAAGACATTTGGACAGGTACATGTATAGGAAAGATACAGAAGGACATGGGCCAAACACAGGCAATGGGACTGGTTCAGTTTAGGAAACCGGTCAGCCCAGAAGAGTTGGGCCGAAGGGTCTGTTTCCGTTCTGTATGATTCTATTGATACTCTTCATATTTTTATAGGTATCTCAGAACACCTTTTAATCCTCACTGCTCCAAGGAAAATAACCTCAGTCTACCCAATCTCTCTTCATAACTCAGATCCTCCAGCCCAGGCAACATGCTGGTCAATGTCCTCTGCACCCCCTAGATGTATAAGCTGCTAGCTTAAACTCAATCACTCAGCCATTTGAATCAGCCAGCTAATGACAACAGGACACCTCATGAGATTAGGATGACCACTGCCCCTTTTCCCACATTTTTTGAAGGTTTGTTGTCATTCTTTCCAAGAACAAAGCTTCCGTCTTTTCCAGACATTGCATTGATCATACAGTACATCTGAATTTGCCTTGTAAACTGCAGAGTTATGCAAAAAATTGCTACATGTAAATGATTTGGATGGGTAGTGAATACATAGAAAATAAATGTTAGAATGTACTCCAGTATCCTACTGTCTGCAAGAACACTGTGGCAATTTTAGAAGCTGTTGGCATAGCTTGTATGTGGCTTAATTCTTTGTTTTCAAAATAAGGCACCTTATTTATATTCTGTGAATAAACTTAATTTTGTCATGTTCCCCTCCTTTTTTGAAGGAGTTAGAACCTGGACATCCCAGTGATCTGCATCACGCTTTAGTGCAAGGATTTTTAAGCAATTTGTACTGGGTAAGTGCTCTGCAGTGAAATATGTAAAGTGCTGGAGAAACTCAGCAGATCTGGCAATGTCTGTGCAGACAGAAACAGTTAGTCAACGTTGAGTTGAACATGAATCCTTGAAACTGAAGGACACTGTTTATGCTGTAAAATGGATGGGGTTGGAAAGGAAGAGGAACAGTTTCATCTGATAAGTGTGTCCAGAGCAAAAGCCAAGGGAGTGGTAAAGGAGACGAGTATGGGAGTTACGGGCAGATACTAAGAGCAGAAAATAGGTCACCTCTACTGAGAGCGTCATGGAGGAAGGTACTTTGTGGAGCCAATGTTGAGTTCTGGACAGATAGGAGGGGTAAAGGTGCATAATTCCTTGAAAGTGGAGTCACAGGAGAAGACATTTGCCACATTGAGTACAGGAGTTGGGACATCATGTTGCATGTATACAGGACATTGGTGAGGCCAATTTTAGAATACTTCGTTCAATTCTGGTCTCTCTGCTGTAGCAAAGATATTGTTAAGATTGAGAGGGTTCAGAAAAGATATACAAGGATGCCAGGACAGGAGGGTTTGAGCTATAGGGAGAGGCTAATAGACTGGGGCTTTTTTCCCCTGGAACATTGGAGGCTGAGGGGTGACCTTGAAGAGGTTTATAAAATCATGAGGGGCATGGATAGGGTAAATAGCCAAGTTCTTTTTCCCAGGGAGGGCGAGTCCAAAACCAGAGGCCTAGGTTTAAGGTGAGGGGAAAGATGTAAAAAGGAACTGATGGGTAACTACTTCATGCAGAGGGTGGTGTGTGTATGGAACAAGCTGCCAGAGGAAGTGGAGGAGGTGGGTACAATTACAACATTTAAATGACATCTGGATGGATATATGAATGGGAAGGGTTGAGGGTAATGGGCCAAATGCTGGCAAATGGGACTAGATTGGGTTGTGATGTCTGGTCAGCACAGATGAATTGGATTGAAGGGTCTGTTTCTGTGCTGTGTGACAGTGATTCTATACTGTGAAAGTTTTGATGCGATCCACACCCCCACCACCAACCTTTCTAAACTTCGTTGAATACAGACCCAAAGTCCTCAACTGCTCCTCCTACAACATCCCAAATGAACATAATAAACACCTCGAGGAGCAGGAAAGCTGACGTTTCAGGTCTGGACCCTTCTTCAGAAATGAAGAAGGGTCCAGACTCGAAACATCAGCTTTCTTGCTTCTCTGATGCTGCTTGGCCTGCTGTGTTCATCCAGTTCTACACCTTGTCATCTCAGATTCTCTGGCATCGGCAGTTCCTACTATCTCATAATTAACATCTCATTGTGATTTTAGGTGAAAGGGAAGTACTGTACCAAATGGTCATTCTGATCAAGTATCAAGTCACCTACTATTGAACTCAAAAAGTATTACATAAATACAAGCTAAACAAAAAGTCCTAAAACATTCAGTTTTGAGACAAAACTTTATGTTGAGCTACAAACTGATATCAGGTCAAGTAGCCAAAGTTTTGGTCAAACAGTAACTTTTATTGAGTGACCTAGGAAAGATGGGCAGAGTGTTTGAGGAAGGGAATTGAAGGCCTGCTAAGGGAGCTGGAGCAATGCATACTAGGCAACGCTGAAGGGGCTTTCATTAGAGGAATGGAGATAACTTTAGATTGGTCAGCTGGAGGAAAATCGGCAGATGGCAGTTACTGTTGTGGCAGTTTTGAAAATGTGGATGGAAATTTTGGAAAGCTGTTTACATGTAAGGCAGTCAAGGGCATACAGCGTAAATGATGGGATAAGTGGAACTTGATGTAACTACGTTTATGCAGAGTATTTTTTTGAACAACAAATTAATGAGGAACGGCTGAAGATGGTTTGGAATAGTGAAGTCGAGGTAATTTTAAAAAAATTCATTCACAGGATGAGGGCATCGCTGACCAGGCTACATTTATTGCCCATCCCTAATTGCCCAGAGGGCAGGTCAGAGTCAACCACATTGCTGTGGATCTGGAGTCACATGTAGGCCAGACCAGGTAAGGATAGCAGTTTCCTTCCCTAAAGGTCATTAGTGACCCAGATGGATTTTTTTCAGGAAGTTACCAAAAAGATTGATATCTACCACTCTGTCCTCATCATCTATGTTGACGTTAGTGAAGCCGTTGTCAAGGTTTCTCATGGTCGACTAATCAGTAAAGTTAGATCACATGGGATTCAGAGAGAGCTTGTCATTTACATGCAAAATTGGTTTACATTAGGAGACAGAGGATGGTGGTGGTGGTGGTGGAAGGTTGTTTTTCAGAGTTGAGGCATGTGATCAGCAGTATTCCGTGGGGATCAGTGCTGGGTTCACTTTTGTCATTTATATAAACGATTTATATGAGATTTCAAGGAGAATGGTTAATAAGTTTGTGGTGACAACAACATTGGTGGTACAGTTGACAGTGAGGAAAGTTATCTAAGGGAGTGTGATAGACACTAGTTACAGGGAAGTGGTCACGCCAGAGGTTCAAACAGGTAGATGAGTGACCGCTAGGAGAAGCAGGCAGGTAATGCAGGAGTCTCTTGTGGCTATTCCCCTCTCTAACAGGTATTCCGTTTTGGATACTGTTGCGGTGATTAGCCTCTCAAGGGAGTATTACAAGGAGTGCCAGGCCTGTGGCACCACAACTGGCTTTGCTGTAGAGCAGAGTCAGTGAGTGATAGTGGTCGGAGACTCGCTACTTAAGGACACAGACAGGTGTTTCTGTGGCCACATCTGAGACTCCAGGATGGTGCGTTGCCTCCCTGGTGCCAGGGTCAAGGATGTCTCTAAGCAGTTGCACGAAATTCTTAAGGGGGTGGGTGAGCAGTCAGAGGTCACGGTTCACTTTGGTACCAACATTATAGGTAGAACGAAGGATGAGGTCCTGCGGAGTGAGTACAGGGAGTTAGGGAAGAGGCTGAAAAGCAGGATCTCGGGGGTAGTAATCTCTGGGTTACTACCAGTGCCACGTGCCAGTGAGGCAAGGGATAGAAAGACAGTACAGACGATTGCGTGGCTAAGGAACTGGTGCAGGGAGAAGAGTTTCAGATTCTTGGATCATTTGGACCTTTACTTGGGGAGGGGTGGGGTGACCTGCATCTAAACCAGAGGGGAACCAATATCCTCACAGGGAGGTTCACTAGAGATGCTCGGGAGGATCTAAACTAGAGTGGCAGGGGGCTGGGAATCAGAGCAGCAGGTCAACAAGTGAAGGGATTGCGGGAACAGTAGATGTTAGGACCAGTAAATCAGACAGAAAGGACAGGCAGGGACAGGTAAATGAACACAACAGTACTAATGGGCTGAAGAGTGCTTAATTCAATGCAAGGAGTATTAAAGGTAAGGCACATGAGCTTAGAGCCAGGATCAGTACATGGGACTATGATGTTGTGGCTATTACAGAGACTTGGTTGAGAGAAGGTCAGGACTGGCTGCTCAACGTTCCAGGGTTTTGTTGTTTTAGATGATAGAGAGGAAAGTAAAAGAGGTGGAGGAGTTGGATGAGGAATCAGAGAGAATGTTACATCTGCACTCAGAGAGGAAGCACTGGAGGACTCATCCACTGAGGCAACATAGATAGAGCTCAAAAATAAGATGGGTGTAATCACTCCGATTGGACTATACTATAGGCCTCCCAACAGCCACCGAGAGATTGAGGAACAAATATGAAGGCAGCTTATGGAAAGGTGCACTCAAAACACAGTGGGTAACTGTAACTTCCCCAATATTGACTGGAACTCCCTTCAAGCAAGAGGCTTAGACGGGGAGGAATTTGTTAAGTGCATCCAGGAGGGTTTCTTGAGACAGTATGTGGTAGTCCAAATATAGGAGGCGCCATACTGGACCTTGTGTTGGATATACTTTGTGGGATGGTTTTCTTGACCAATATGTGGAGGAAACAACTAGACAGCAGGCCATCTGACATTGGGTACTGTGTAATGAGAAGGGAATCATTGCCAATCTCACTGTCCGAGACCCCCTTGGGGAAGAGCAACCATAACATGATAAAAAAAATTCTATCAAGATCAAGAGTGAGGATGTTGATTCGGAGACTAGGATGCTGAACCTTAATAAAGGGAACTGTGAGGATATGAGGCATGATATTGGCCTTGATAGATTGGGGAGAGTTACCTAAAGGGATAACAGTGGAAGGCAATGGCAAACATTCAAGCAACGCATAGGGGAACTGCAACAACTGTTTATTCCTGTCTGTCGCAAAAACAAAATGGGTAAGAGGGTCCATCCATGGCTTACAAAGGAAATAAGAGATAGTATCAAATTCAAGGAAGAAGCACACAGACTGGCCAAGAAAAATAATAAATCTCAGGATTGGGAACAGTCTAGAATTCAGCAAAGAAGGACCAAGGGATTGATTAAGAAGGGAAAAACAGTGCAAGAAATTAAGCTTGCAGGGAACATAAAGACTTATGCTAAGAGTTTCTACAGGTACATAAAGAGAAAGAGATTGGTAAAGACAAATATAAGTCCCCTACAGACTGAAATGGGGGAATGTATAGTACAGCACACAGAAATGGCTGAGCAACTGAATACATACTTAGATTCCGTCCTCACAAAAGAGGGCACAAATCAGATATCAGAATTGTTGGAGGATGCAAGATTTAGTGAGAGGGAAGAACTGAGGGAGATCAATATTAATAGAGAAATGGTGCTGGGAAAATTGTTGGGATTGAGGCCAATAAATCCCCAGGGTCTGATAACCTACATCCCAGAGTACTTAAGGAAGTAACTTTAGAAATAGTGGATGCATTGATGGTCATCTTCCAGGATTCTCTAGCCTCTGGAACAGTCTCTGCAGATTGGAGGGTGGCTAATGTCACTCCAATATTCAAAAAGGGAGGTGGAGAGAAAACAGGGAATTATAGACCAGTGAGCCTAACATCGATAATGGGGAAAATTCTCAAATCCATTATCAAGGATTTTATATCAGAGTATTTAGAAAACAGTAGCAGGATCAGACAGAGTCAGCGTGGATTTATGAAGGGGAAATCATGCTTGACAAATCTGTTGGAATTCTATGAAGATGTATTGAGTAGAGTTGACAAGGGGGAGCCAGTCGATGTAGTATATATGGACCTTCAGAAAAGGTTTGACAAAATCCCACATAAGAGATTAATGTGCAAGATTAAAGCACATGGGACTGGAGGAAGTGTATTGGATGGATAGGAAACTGGTTGGCAGAGAGGAAACACAGGGTAGGAATTAATGGGTCCTTTCCAAATTGGCAGGCAGTAACTATTGGGGTGCCACAGGGATCGGAGCTGGGACCCCGGGCTATTCACAATATATATGTTAATGATTTGGATGAGGGAACAAAATGTAACATCTCAAAGTTTTCAGATGATACCAAGTTGGGTGGGAGGGTGAAGTGTGATGAGGATGCAGAGATCCTTCAGCATGGTCTCGACAGGTTGGGTAATTGGGCAAATCATTAGCAGATGCAGCATAATGTAGATAAATGTGAGGTTATTCACTTCGGAAGCAAAAACAAGGCAGCAGATTACTACCTGAATGGCTGTAAATTGGGAGAGGGGAGTATGCAGTGGGACCTGGGTGGCCTGCACCTGACTCTAGACACACAGCTTTGTAATGGACTTTAAAGTGCCCTGGCTCTCTGGGCACTTATGGACGGACAATAAATACTGGTCTACCCAGTGATACTCATTCCTGAATGAATAAAAATAAACAGAATTGTTTATAAATGCTCGGCTGCCTATATATAATTAACAGGAGTCACTTGTGCCTAAAAGCTAACAACAGTACCTGAAGAATGTGATTGCACTGGAGGGGGCACAGAGGAGGTTTATCAGGATGTTACCTGGGATAGAGCATTTCAGCGATGAAGACTGACTTTCAATTAGCATAATCTAACTCTACCAGAGAGACAGGATGCCTGTCATTGTCAGGAAAGACACTAATCTTTACAGGGTCACTGACAATACAGAATCTGAATACAGGGGGAGATGGGGCACGTTGCCCTCATGTCTGGTCTTACAATTTTTAAGACAAATGCAATAATGCCAAATTGCAACTAATCACAACAATTTACACTGCAGGAGAAAGGGTCTGCTTTGTTAATACGTTGATCATGATTTGTTGAGGCATTGGAATGGAGAGAGCTCCCCTAGTTTCCAAATACTGAAAACAAGGCTCAAAGTTTTCAACGTTCTCTGCACAGACTAGATATACTGAGGTGGTTTTCCTTAGAGCAGTGAAGGCTGAGGAGGGATCTAATTGATGTGTGCAAAGTGATGAGAAACACAAATAGGGAGAAACCTCAATACAGGGATCAACAATCAGATATGCAAAGTAAAGAGCAGGAGGTTTCGAGGGGATTTAATGGCTCTTTGTTATACCCAGAGGGTGGTGGGAATCTGGAACTCACTTGTCCGAAAGGGTGGAAGAAGCGGAAACCCTCACATCATTCAAGAGGGCAGCATGGTGACTCAGTGTTTAGCACTGCTGCCTCACAGCGCCAGGGACCCGGGTTCGATTCCAGCCTCAGGCCACTGTGTGGAGTTTGCATTCTCCCCGTGTCTGCATCGGTTTCCTTCAGGTGCTCTGGTTTCTTCCCACAGTCCAAAGGTATGTAAATTAAGTGGATTGGCCGTGCTAAATTGCCCATAACGTCTAGGGTGGGAAATACAGGGATGGTGCAAGGGGTGGGTCCAGGTGGGATGCACCTCGGAGGGTCAGTGTGGAATCGATGGGCCAAATGGCCTGCTTCCACACCGTAGGGATTCTATGAAGATGTTTAGATTAATACCTGAAATACCACAGCATTCAAGGCTAAGGGCCAAGTACTGGAAAATGGGATTAGAGTAGACAAATGTTTGATGACTGGCATGGGCAGCATGGACCCGAGGGTCTCCCTCCATGTTGGACGATCTATAACACTGTGTGCTCTATCCCGGACACTGCACGCACTCCACTGCGCCAGATCTTTACATGAGATGCAACGTGGTCTGTTTCATCTCCTTTTAATCAATTATCTTAAGAATTGTCTCAGTAAATATTATGTGGGGACTCACCTGAGAGGTAGGAGAGCTGCAGACCTCCCGTGTGCCACTGTTACTGAGAACAGGAGAATCACTTGAATTGTCCTGGAAAAACACAGCAAAAGATACAAATTCATCAAAACCTCCAACAAGCAAGCATTCCAACACACAGTCACAGCCACTGCCTTTCTCCACACGCCCCACCCCCCAACAAACTCTTGCCCCGTCCCCATCTCGCGCGCACACACTCGTGCCCTCTCTCTCTCACACGCACACTGGACCCAAAACGTTAACTCTGGTTTAACAGTCCAGGAAAAAACAGAGACCCAGGTAGTGTTCTGGGGACTCAGGTTCGAATCCTGCCACAGCAGATAGTGGAATTTGAATTCAATAAAATATCTGGAATTAAGAATCAAATGATGACCGTGAATCCATTGTCGATTGTTGGAAAAACCCATCTGGGTCACTAATGTCCTTTAGGGAAGGAAACTGCCATCCTTACCTGGTCCGGCCTACATGTGACTCCAGACCCACAGCAATGTGGTTGACTCTTAACTGCCCTCTGGGCAATTAGGGATGGGCAATAAATGCTACCATGCCAGCGATGTCCTCATCCCGTAAATGAATAAAGAAAAAAAAGTTCACTATCACATAGCCTGATACGTGACACGATCTGGAAATTGAGTGTATTTTTTTATCTATTCATTTGTGAGATGTGGGCATCGCTAGCTGGGCCCAGCATTTCTTGGCCATCCCTAGTTGCCTCTTGAGAAGGTGGTGGTGAGCTGCCTTCTTGAACCGCTGCAGTCTATGTGCTGTGGGTTGACCCACAAAGCCCTGAGGGAAGGAATTCCAGGATTTTGACCCAGCAACAGTGAAGGAACAGCGATATATTTCCAAGTCAGGATGGTGGGTGACTTGGAGGAGAACTTGGGGGTGGTGGTGTTCCTTTATGTCTGATGCCCTTGTTCTTCTAGATGGAATTGGTCGTGGGTTTGGAAGTGCTGTCTGAGGATCTTTGGTGAATTTCTGCACTGCATCTTGTAGATCGTACACACTGCTGCTACTGAGCATCGGTGGTGGAGGGAGTGGATGTTTGTGGATGTGGTGCCAATCAAGCGGCTGCTTTGTCCTGGATGGTGTCAAGCTTCTTGAGTGTTGTGGGGGCAGCTCTCATCCAGGCAAGTGGGGAGTATTCCATCACACTCCTGACTAGTGCCTTGTAGATGGTGGGACAGGCTTTGAGGAGTCAGGAGGTGAGTTACTCGCTGCAGGATTCCCAGCTTCTGGCCTGCTCTTGTAGCTACTGTGTTAGTGAGTCCAGTTGAGTTTCTGGTCAATGGTAACCCCCAGGATGTTGATAGTGGGGGATTCAGTGATGGTAACACCATTGAATGTCAAGGGGTGGTGGTTATTGGTCTCTTATTGGTGATGGTCATAGCCTGGCATTTGTGTGGCGTGAATGTCACTTTCTACTTGTCAGCCCAAGCCTGGATATTGTCCAGATCTTGTTGCATTTGAACACTGCCTGCTTCAGTATCTGAGGAGTCACGAATGGTGCTGAACATTGTGCAATCATCGGCGAACATCCCCACTTCTGACCTTATGATGGAGGGAAGGTCATTGATGAAGCAGCTGAAGATGGTTGGGCCAAGGGCATTACCTTGAGGAACTCCTGCAGAGATGTCCTGGAGTGGAGATGATTGACCTCCCACACCACGGCCATCTTCCTATAGGTGAAGCATTTCCCATGGATCCGAGTGATTCTTAGGTGTGTGTAAATATATCAAGCCTGCCATAACTCCATCAACTGCTCCAGGTGTCGGCATGTTCCACACGGTGTTAAGGGATGCTTCCTAAATTTTTCACTAAATGTGTCAGTGACTACCACATGTCATGATTCTTGTTCTGGACTCACCCACCAGTGGAAACTGTCAATCACCAACCTATCAAACTTTGATATCCTTTTCTAAAACTCTGCAATCTGCAAACCTTAGTCACCTTCTATATTTGCACCCTCTCAGGAATTAGCAACTTGCTCAATCTTTTCTGCACTCGCTCAATTTTCAATATCCTTCTTATACTGTGGATTCCAGAACTATCAACAGTTTTCGGAGTATGTTCATTAACTCATTGTTTCTGTCTTTTAATACTTTAGATGTAGACTCCATGTTCTGATTATATCACGTGATTAATTACTCAGACTCATCTACCTGCATTCCGGGATCTCATTGCACGTCTAACTGAGGTAAATCACTGTCCAAAGAAAACTGGCTCCTTATCTCTCGTACTAGAAACGAAATACCTGGCAGATAACTATGTAAGATGGAATTTATTATTCATGGCCAATTCTGCAAGCTTCTGGGTGGGGTTACAGGTGAGGTGGAGTGTCTGTTCTATGACCAAGGCGGCGGTGGTGGATGATGTAGTGATGGTCACTCACTCACTCAGTGCCTGGGACAAATGGTTGGTGTCTACTCTTAGAGGGTAAGGGGTCGGGACAAGGGGCTGCTGTCTGTCCAAGATGGGGAGGGGACAGGGACAGGGACAGGGTGAGGAGCAAGGAACTGCAGTTCTGTCATGCTGCCCTAGACAAAGAATTTAAAATGTGGCCCCTTACATTGATGAGCTTGGTGCAATGCAGAATGTTAGAGCACAAACCCACACCCAGCCATTCTCCAATCATGCACACATACAGCCTTTCCCCCACACAGACACACAACACTTATATATAAACACCTCCATGCCCCCACCCATCGTCAGCCCCTCTCGCGCCCCCACCCACCGTCAGCCACTCTTGCGCGCCCACACTCTCAGATCAATGTACCCACCGTCTCTTTCACACAAACACACTCTTTCTCACACACCCACACATCTATACAAACCTACCCCCGTACACTGCCAACCAACCCCATACAAACAAGAGAAGAGGCAGGTGGATAAACCAAAGTCAAAGTCAATCTCTCTCCCTCCTAATGCTCCTTGCTGCAGCAGGTTAGTGAATCAGGGCAGCCACAAGAACAAAGCCACAACACATGCACAGTGCAATCTTGCTGAGGACACAGGTGAGTGGGCACATGTTGACACCATGCCATGCGCAGGTGGGTGCTTGCCTGGACGCTGCAGCTCGTGTTGCCCCTTGTGCCCTGTGGAGATGCTCCTGCTGCTGGGAGGTCCCTGGCTTTCTCCCGGCCCTTCCTATTTGCCACCACAAACGGGTTCTGGTGGAAGGGAATGGGCTGAAGCTCAATCAAAACCTCCTGCTCCTGGCTGCTGGGTACCTGCTGACTGGGTTCAGGCAGCAGCATGTGCCCACTGCTCTTTTCCATCACTAGGTGCCCATGGTTGGGTTCTGTAGCTTGCTGCTTATTACCGAGAGGCCCCAGGTCGCTGGAAGGCCCACTCAAAGGCACAGCCACCGATCTCCAACAGGAGACCACTTCCTGCTCCGGTGGCTGATTGCACTGAACCTCCATCGCTGCCAATTCAGTAAACCCCTTCACCAGGGGAAATGTCAGAAAAACAGACAAAGACAGAAAGAAAGAAGGGATTCAGATGACTGGAAGCAAGAGAGAGAAAGAGAAAGAGATCAATCGAGCTTATTCAGAATTCAATTACTATGAGCTGTCAATCACTGCAGGCAATGTGCTTAATTCCCTCAAGGTTAAAGGGCATAGGCTGCTATGGCACTGGGCAGAACAAGCTGTAATGCTCAAGGCACCATTCGTGACTCAGAACAACAGATGCAGTTTAATTTAGAAACTGTGAGGTGTTGCATTTTGGTAAGACAAACCAGAGCAGGACTAATACACTTAACAGTAGGGTCCTGGGGAATGTTGCCAAACATTGAGACCTTGGAGTGCCGGGATGGTGACAGTGTTTTGTGAATGGAGGGGTGTCCTACTTCACAGGCAGGCACTGGTTACCACGAGCCTTGATCGAGCAGACTAACAGGTGGTGCCTGTTTTAGCCGCGGGAAGGAGCAGCATTGCTCTGTCAGTCTATCTATATGTGGATCACTTCAGAATTGTACAGTCCCACTTTCCCAGCCTCAGCCCACAGCTTTGAATGTTATCATTTCAGTGGCTCATCCAAGTACTTTATAAAGATGAGGTTTCCCCTCTCATCCTTCAGCTTGTCACCTTAAAATGCTGGCCCTTGTTCTCACCGCATTGACAAAGGGAACAGCTGCTTCCTATTCAGCCCGATTGTGCCCCTCATAACCTCATGTGCCTCATTCAGGTTTCCTCTCAGCCTTCTCTGCTTTCGCCTCGAAGTGCCCCTGCTCCTTGCTGCTGGCCTGGGAGAGGGATTTGCTTCAACACCCAGTCTCAACGTGCAGCCAAGCAATCTCCCTCACAGCTCCCCTGTTTTCCAATGCCCTAAACAAAACCTGGTCCAGATCGGGCCTGACAACAGTAAATACGGAGGGGCAGGGCAATAGTGGAGAGAGAAAGCGAGGGGGCTAGGGAGGCAGAGGGACAGAACGTGTGTTAGAGTGGAAAGAAAGAGTGCAGTGAAAACTGAGGGAGTGTTAGATAAAGAAAGAATGTTCAAGACTGAAGGAAAACTAGAGGGCATATGTTTAAGGTGAGGGCAAAAAGATATAAAATGGACCTGAGGATTACATTTTCACACAGAGTGCGTGTATGAAATGAGCTGCCAGAGGAAGTGGTGGAGGCTGGTACAATTATAACATTTAAAAGGTATCTGGATGGGTTTATGAATAGGAAGGGTTTAGAGGGATATGGGCCAAATGGGACCAGATTAACTAACTGGTCAGCATGGACGAGTTGGACTGAACAGTTTGTTTCTGTGCTGTGCAGCTCAAAGACTCTACAAGTTGGGTGGGAGGGTGAACGGTGATGAGGATGCAGAGATCCTTCAGCATGATCTGGACAGGTTGGGTGATTGGGCAAATCAATAGCAGATGCAGTATAATGTGTATAAATGGGAGATTATTCACTTTGGAAGCAAAAACAAGAAGGCAGATTGTTACCTGAATGGCTATAAATTGGGAGAGGGGAATGTGCACGTCTGTACCAGGCTGGGACGTTCCGGGGGGGGCTGCG